ACTGCTCTGGGATACCAGCCTTACATAGCACTTGACAGGAAGAGGAAGGGAAAATAAACTCAGGATTCAAAAACCAAAGGATCTGCAAGAAGAGGTAAGAATCGTGCTTGTACCTCACCCGGTAACTTAGTACGCTGGGGGCCTCCTAGCACATCCCACATTATTAACAGCTTACAAGCTACAGGGACACCGATTGTAAAACTACCAGAGAAAAAGGTTCCTTCAATTATGCATATTTCCATTAGCCTTACATATGAGTAACAATTATAATCCTAGGAACAACAGTGCATCTCCCTGAGGAAACCTTTTAATTGCTTTGGGAAAAAATACAACTAATTGAAGACAGATTTACAGAGTTATCTGGTAGGACTGGGACCAAGTCCAAGGGTTCTTGATCCCTCTGTCACATTAGAAAAGTTTTCCTGTACAGAAGCATTAGAGAATTTCTGTTTCTAATCCAATGCTATCAATAGACATGTAATATTTTGGGCAATCACTTAGAAAAGTTATCACACACCAGGTTGTTTCTACCACATATGGTATGGTATCAACTTTTTACTTCTTGTTCTCTGACCTTCTCTATTTCTGTTCTTCCTAAAGCCACATATTACGCTATTAATATAAAAAAAATCCCAGTTCTGAAAGAAGCAAGCCAGCCTCATGCCCCTTGGCAAACAGCCACCTCCGAACCTGCCATTTGTTGTAACTATGAGTTCACTTAAGGTCAGATTGCAACATTTTAAAATGAACTCACATATTTTCTGAAAAGCACATTACCAGGTAAAAAAAACTGTAACCCAGAAAAAGTCACCAATAACTCAAACATTTCAGGAGGCTTATTAAATAAAAATCCAACTTCACAGTCATGTAAGCAGCAGAGATCCTTATAATGAATGGGCAGAATACACTACAGCACATCAGGAATTACAAAACTAAATTAGAAACCCAAATCTCATTTGCTATAAAAACAAATGGCTCTTTGTTCTTGAAAAGGAAGTTGCTAAAATAATGCAATGAATCACCCTTCTGCAGTCAATTTCTGATGCTTAATCCTTTGTGTATTTCTATGAGCTTATTATACATGCATCAGACATTTCAACATTTTGTGAAAAAAGTGGCTATCCTTAACATCTCATCTCACAGGTTTATGAAGTTAAATTACTCAAAACTACTCTTTCTCCATATAGTGGACGTCGAGGTAAGAGCTAAAATTCCATAGCACATTTCAAGAAAGGTTAGGGAACGTATTAACGTCTTTCTCTTAAATGAATACATTCCAAGATGCAAAGTTGTAGGCCAGCAATGACCCTACCTGAATTTGATGAGAACAGATACTACTGCAGCGTGCTAAAGCACCGTGCATTACATATGCACACAGCCCCTCTGCCTGTCATTTTACCTTTCTCTATCCCTGCCGTACTGGCTCTGGCCGAGATGACATTAACTTTCTTCACACCAGCTCCCACAGTGCTGTGTTTGAGATCTGCCACAAAAGCAGTGCTGACAACACACTGACGCTTTAGCTATTGCTGAACAGCGTTGCCTAGCATCAAGGCTTTGTGTTTCTTACTCTGTGCCCTCACCCTCAGTGAACAGAAGCTGGGAGGAGACACAACCAGGTAGATGACCCACATTAACCAAAGAGATACTCCGTGTCATATAATGTCACACTCAGCAATAAAATGGAGAGGAGGGAGCGCCTCCTCTGTCGCTCAAGTAGAATAAGCAGTGCTCTCTGAACAGAACAACTTGAATTTCAGATAATATAGTAATGTAAGGCTCTCAGCAGACCCATTTGTAGCAAAGAGACAAGAGTTAATTTACTGTAGTGTCAATACAGTACAACAGTATGACAGTACTAGTGCATAAATCATATCTGCCATTGCAGCTCCTCTTCCAAAGTGTTGGCAATATTGATCGTGAAATAGAAACACACATTTTTTGCACTGAACATCAAAGTCAACAGAACAAAACCTGGGTCTGAGGCTGGGTATTTTGTATAAACAAGCCCCACTTTTTTTCTAGGCAGCACCTCTCTCTCACCTTTATGAACTCCTAAAACCTTGAGAATCGACCTTTTCTTCTCCTTTACAGAGCATCTAGAGTTTGCCTGTGAGGCAAAAGGGAAAAGTATCCTGCTTGGCACAATTTTCATTGTTCAAGTTAGATTTTTTTTCAAGCTGAGATTTTCAAACAAGCTTCCAAGCCTTACAACTGAAAAAAATATTCAGAACACAGTCACAAGTGGTTCTTATACACTAATTACAGTGCTTTCTCAATTTCTCACCCATCAGAGGGCACACATCTCGCATATAAGGGGAAGGAGAATGTCTGTGACTGAGTGTGATATTGTTAACAAGTGAATTTAATTGAGAAACATTTTTGCATCTCGCATTAGGTATGAGTCTTAGTTATGGTGATATGTTCATGGGTGACAGGAAAATTATGCCTTACATCTGTAGAGATGTGTAAATGCCTCATTAAGTTTAATAATTATGTTTTAGAAGGGCAGATCCATAAGAAAATCTCTGGTACTGAAAAACAGAAGGGACAATGAAACAACCTTGCAATTGTATCATCACTGACCTTGCTGAATTAATTCACCTGACAAGAAATATTTTTATAAACATATTAATAATGAATGTTATAATGTAAAAACTGCATGAATGGGTTACACTATGAAAAGATTATCAAGTAGCCCATGAAATTAGACATGGACTATATTTTCAGATTTGAGCTCAATTCAACCTGAATTTGTACAGTTATTCACATATGATAGAGAAAGCAGAAGTGGAAGAGAAAGGACACTGCTATTAAACATGACACATAAAAGGAAACCTTTTAAGAACAACTTCTTTTCAATGAAAAAACTACAAGTATCACCTTTGATGGACAAAAATCAATAGCATATGACTAATTCCACAATGTTCTCTACAGCTAAAAAAAAAAATCCAAAAACCCACAAAACAAAACCCACCACCACCTTCCTGGATGTGGCAGAAGACAAATTATCCCAACAATGAAAAGCTCTCAAGGAAAGCTATACTATTCCATTTACAGTGACAGCTCAGTTTTACACCTAAACAAAGATTATACAAATCTGGGAAACCAAACCAGAACATTATCAACTTCTGCTCACAATGAGAAGGTGGTTAGACAAATGAAGCACTTCATACTAGTCAACTACACATTTTGACACACACGGTTAAACAAAAAATTAACCAGTTTATTATATTTAACATATTTACAAAATAATACAAATTAAAGTACTGTAACTCCATTATTGCATGACAACAAAACCTCCATAAAGGCAAAAGCAGCACAAGAAAGAGACACTCCAGAATATTTAGGAAGTCTTTGGTACTCAAAATATAGTTTACGATGCAGCATTAACTCAATTAATACAGGGCATTAAACACAGACAACGATATGTAGATTTATGCCACAAAAGTAATTTTAGCTATGGCTTTCATTCTTCTCAAAGGCTGATTACTGGACTCGGGAATTGCTTAAAAGCTTTACAGCAACTTCAGGATGGAAAGACTACTCAAAACAATTCTAAAACCAAGCTGTTGAAAATGACTGATGTATTTCTCAACTCATATTGAATTAAACTGCCTCAGAACTATATGACAGCAAAGCACTAAACACTTCACAGGCCTAGAGCCTATTCCTCTACCCCTTGAGCAGGCAAAACTGTGAAAGAATCAACTTTGTCTACTTAAGGAATGTAGGATGAAGCTCACAATAGACAATAAAACCGCATGGCAAAACATGATCAAAGACAGTATACTCTAGTCTACACTGCTGTACATATCATTTACAAAATACGTTTTACGCATAATCTACATATTTACAATGCTCTCAATTGTTCCATCAAGTAACGTACTCAACACAATCACAGTTTACATAATTTTGAGGTAAATCCTTGAAAAGTTAGAGCATCAGCAGAGTTTCATCTGCAAGGCTAAATCTCACAAGTGGAAGATTTCTAATGAGAAGACCCTCTCTTTCATCTGGTCACACAGCAGTGTACGCTAGGTGCAGCAGATGGGTAAGATAGTTGCAGAGACAAAGGGGATTATTGTGAATCCTCTGTGCTGTGCTTGGTTCTTCCTGATGGCTAGGAGGCGGCCAGAAAGAAGCAAAGACTGGGGACAGCCAAAGAGAATCTGAAATGTGTACCGGCAGATTCTGCTCTGTGGACCAACAGTGCACATTATGTTGCTCGTACAGTGGGAAAAACTGCACTGCTAAATCATGCAGTGCCTGTGCACACTAATTGCAAGATGCCTATGTGAAAAGAGGACAGGGAAAAGCAAAAGAGGATATGGGATAGGATGAATTAGCGTTCTTGATTGGTCAATGTTACCCTAGAAAGAAAATGCATTTAAGAGCTTTATTTTCTGAGTTTTCAAGCCTGGTTAGACATCATCTAAATACTCAAAACTGCACATCTGAAGACATCACCCACACTTCTTTTAGCTTATAACTACAGCACTGCTGTCCCTCCATAAATACATTAAAACACTGCCTCACCAAGGGGTGGACACCACTTGACAAGCCCTGATGTTTCAAGCTAGCTAACCTAGACACATTTTTCCTCTGGGATGCTCATAACACTGCAACAAGACCACTCACTCATTAAACTGCCATTAGCATCCCAGGGAACAGGAGAGGAAAGGGCACAAAGAAGTCTGCAAGTTCCCTTTGCATTACCTTATAAGAGCACAAAAGGTGACAGAAACTCCTGTCTAACTACGAAATGACAGTTTAGAGTTGGAAGCATCAAAGTTCATCTGAACCAAGCAAGAGGTTAAGATAACAGTTTTGTTCTTGTGAAGTGACATCATCTTGCATTAGTATATTCTCCTACAGAACAGGTGTGCAATATTTATTTAACGTTAATGCTGAAAATTTTAAAACTCATCTTGCCATGACCATCATCGGTTGCATTTTTGTGGTCAGCTGCTTAAATGAAAAAACCTCACACAAAAAGACTTGGGATGACAAAGAAAGGATCCCACAATTCCACTTCGTGGACGCTTCTTCAAGCAATACTACATCACTACACCTTTTTAAAATGTCTTGAATTGTTAGATGATTTAGGCAGGACCTCAAAGTAGTCAGTTAACTAATTATATATGCATGAATGCTATTCATGTTTACTACGTCTTTCCTTCAGAATGTTTTCATGAGTGTAAAACTGCTTGTAAGGTGATAAGTAAAGTAGTTTGATGTTTCAAGACAAGTCTACTGACTATACTTTCTGCCCACTGGAATAACTGAACTCCGTTTTCTGCATGCAGTGATAAGGAATAATATGCCATTTCATCTCCTTGTACCATCACAGATGTTAGCTAGAAGAAAAAAAGACTTATTAAATATTCAGCCATAGCTAGTACTCATGGTGCAGTACAGGGTGAAATGAAAAGGAGCATAAAGAAATTTTCCAGAGATCTTCTGGGAAGGTGAGGGTTGGTCTTTGTACTGATCCCCAGTGATGGCAAACCAGCAGGTTGTTTCTTGCACAGCTCTGGGCAAGGTAATAATCTGTCAGCACAAACTTCTGTATAAATCCCAACATTAAGACTGGAAGGTTCAGACAGACAAAAATGCTGCTGTTTAAATACTTTAGAAGACGAATAACACTTTGAAGATACTAAATTTTTACAATCCCTGAAACTGCTGGTCAGCAGAGGAAAGTTTTTAATTCATTCATCCTCTTCAACATAAGTTGATGGAAACCAGCCCACCTAAAAAGGGGAAAAGCAAAACAAAATAATACATGAGGCACACAAGTTTTTTTTAAGTAGCTGAACTAGGCAAAATAGAGATGCGTCTGTTCAGTAAATATAAGAATAAGATTACAAATAAACTTGACTGACCTGCCACAGTTAGGGTAAGTATCCAAAATAAAAGAATAACTTGCAGATATGACCACTTGGAGGCTAAACCCCACCCCCGCCTAAAAAGCACCTTTTGCCTGAATTGGAGACCTAAGCACTCAGAAAAAAGTCTAGAAATGCCAAAAGCAGATGCAGTTTTACTAGAGGCAGGATGCTGCTATTTTTTTCATAAGCAGTTAAATATTTAATAGGTTTCAGTCAGGTCCAGGGAATCCTCTTAGAAAGGAAATAGTGACTGATTTGATTGCATTACATGGAGTTAAATTTCACCGTTCCGTTGCCACCACAAGAGTTTTAAATAAGACAGAACTGGAAGGCAGAGTCCAGTGTTTTACACTTCATAAGTTATAATGCTAACTCCATTCTGAAATTAATGACGTGTCAAATAAGGATTATATAAGACATACAGGGAAGCAATGTCATATTTCTTATTGTCTTATCTATTCACTTTAGGTTTTTCACTCAGCCTTCTTTATACCTAAGTCAATTTAACACTCATGAAAGACCTCAAAACCAAACCTAGAGCATGACTGGAAGGAATAACTGCATAAATTTTGTTTTAGACTACCTTGCCAAAATATCTCCAGAGGTGAGTTTATGATCTCAAATCCAGGCTGTGAAAGCAATCAGAAGGAATGCTAACATATAACAGGGCATCCTTTAGGATGTGGGTTGCTGCATTAGAATGAGATGCTCTGTTTTCTTCACATGTAAAATATACATATATATATATATACACACATATATAGGATGACCACTATTTATTCTGCTCCCCTATTTCTTCTTGGCTAAAATACCATTTCACTTTAAGACCATAATCAGACTCATGTACATAAAGAAAAAGTTCTCCAAATTGCACAGGCAGTAAATCTGGACACCTGCTTCAACTGGACTTGCAACTTTCATTTCCAGCTTCCACCCAATCTACTTTCTTCCACCTCGCATTCCTTGACCTCAGCCTTTAAACATAGAAACAGCAGTCTCAAATACTTGTGACTAATCTGCATTAAAGAGCAATACACTAAGATTGAAACAATATAGCCTTTACAGATCAAAACTGAAACTTTACTTCCATGTAAGTCTCAGAGTGCAGTGATTATAAATGACTTTATAAAAATCCTTGCTAAATATGCCACTTCGTATAAGCCACATTTTCAGATCAAAAAAGCAGCCTCCTATAAAAAGGGGGCCAATTCCATTGCATTGTACTCTGGCAGAAAGGTGTGGAAATCATTCTGTGTTAAACTGATAAACAGCTTCCACAGCACCAGGAACCTGAGCTTTTGACCCCAAATACATGTGTGCAACAGTTCAAGAAAGTTCAGCTGTAGCTGTACTATTAATCCTGGTTATTTTCCAACCACATAATTTTGCCCAAATATTCAGCCTGGTAGGTCACATTAAATAATGAATTAATTTAGATGCTGGGAAAGCTGCCTGGCAAAAGGTCTGTCTGGCTCCCATGAAACACAGATGAGAACAGGTTGTATCTTGTCATTTTAAATATAAAAAGAAGGTTCACGATGTAAAACAATAAGGTGTGTTCCTACAAGATTACTGTCAGTGAAGGCAGAAATAAGACAAAGGAAATAAAAAACCCCTTACCCTTCCATTTACTTCACCTCTCCACCAGCCATTCGCACTCATCTTTGTATAAATTTTTACAACGTCCCCTTTCAATAAGGACAGTTCTCTCATGTCTCTTGCACAGAAGTCATACCTGGCTATGGCAATGCCTATCACCTTCGGGCTTAGCACTGAAATGAAACAGATGTTGATATTATTAGGGTTTGTTAATTGAAGGCTACTAAAGCAACGTAAATAGCAGTACTGTAAAATACAAAACAATGATTTCACAACAACGTATACTGGCATTAATTTTATGCAAATCTGAAAGCATCTGCACTACACAGATCAAGAAGGTTTAAAGGGGAATGGTGTAAGAGTTGAACTGATTTTATATGATTTATTTTTTAAATAGTTCCTTCTATTTTTAGAAAAAAAATCAAACTAGATGAATAAAATATCCTCCACTCTGAAACTGCTAAATACATTTGCAATTATTGTATTTTTGTGCTTCATAATAAAACTTGCTGCCAGTTACAGGCATCAACATATTTTACAGGTCAGTAGCTCCTTTCCAAAAGAATTATTAGCATTTACAGTTGATTTAACTTTAAACCTCTAATGAAGCAAAACAAACAGAATAAGGGGCTGTTCCTTCAAAAACAACTCCCAAGTTAAATATTAATGCACCGAAAACTGGAAGCTAACATCAGCATGAGCAAAAAAGTAAAGAGCTTCCAAAGGAAATTTGTATGGATCATTTGTTACAATCTGCATGAACACTGGCTGATGTAAATCTACTCTTTTCAGGAGTTTATTCTGTAAATCATCAATAAATTTGTTCTACAAAACTTCTCATGAAGAAAAAAGTTATGATTTTTTTCCCTAAGTTTCAGTGAAATTAACTCTTAAAAATTTCAAGCTACACCAATATGTAAGCATTTTGCCAATGTAAAGCCCAGACATTTTAAGCTAAAAAAAGTTGTGAAATATTTTTTAAAAGCAAATGTGAAGCACCTCGTTTCAAAAACCAACCCCCTTCTCCCAAATAATTTTATAGGAAATTATGTTTTCAATCCTGATGTAGATTGTCCAAACTTGCAAAAGAAATCCTCAACTCTTCCCACGAGAGGAAAGTGGGCATGGCACCTAAGAGATAAAGGCCTTTGACTTGAGCAGTTTAGAAAAAACATCTACTACTCCACTGCATTTTGTATTAGATTATTTGGCCAAAGTAATCTTTTTTTTTTTTTTTTTTTTACTTTTTCTGTTAATGCTATTGCTTTCCTATGTAAGTCACTGTATATAGGAGTTCATGAGCACAAGCAAGCTTCCTACTGAAAAGATTTCAGAAGAATTCATCCTATTATCATGATGGATGACTTAATAGAATGTACATATAAATCATCTCTTTTCTTAGAATCCTTTCCAATTCATTAGAAATTCCCAATTGTCTTTAGGAAACACATTAAGATTCTAGTTTTAGCAATGCCTTCAACAATGCAATACTAAAGTTCATAGCTAGTTGCCTTTTATTTAAATCAGGAACACAAAACATGACAAATGAGCTAGAAAACCATGACAGTTTGAGCTCTGCTTGTATTTAAGATTTCTTCTGACCCCGCTGCAGACATTTCATAGAAACAGAGGCTTCTGCATAATCGTATTAAATATATGAAAATTATTATCATGCATTCCGCAGTAGCTGGTATTGGGTCCGGCTCTGTTTAACAGCTTTGTTGGCAACATGGACAGTGGGATTGAGTGCACCCTCAGCAAGTTTGCCAACACCACCAAGCCGTGTGGTGCGGTCGACACGCTGGAGGGAAGGGAGGCCATCCAGAGGGACCCTGACAGGCTGGAGAGGTGGGCCCGTGCAAACCTCATGAAGTTCCACAAGGCCAAGTGTAAGCTCTTGCACCTGGGTCAGGGCAATCCCAAGCACAGACACAGGCTGGGGGATGAGTGGAT